AATTAATCACGGGGAGCACTCAGGCAGACTGATGTAACCGTGCTGTGTTTTATCTCGAGGATGGTGCTGTGGGTACTTCAGACAATATGCAGGCCATCTTTGGGGGGGTATCCCTGCCTGATCCAGCCCTGCACCCCCTCTGCTGCTCTCCTTGCCCACCGCCAGCCCTTGGTGCTTGGCACAGCCGCCCAGATGACAAATAGCTTCTAACGCTCTCCTTGTGTAAACTCATGCTGCTGCTCTGCCCCATCCCTGCCTTGGAGCCGGTTTAGGGCACGGTTACGTGGCCTGGCTGGGAGGGAGGAGGCTGAGCAGGAGCGTGCTACCTTGGCCTCGAGAACCTGCCTGCGAGCTGGGCTGGTGCTGTGCTGGAGGCTGCTGTTGCACGGGACGGACGAGCTCTGCTTCCTGCTGCCGGTGTTGCCCGTTGCTGCAAGAAATAACTCGGTGCTGCTGGGCAATGCTGTGGCTCGTGCAACGGCTGCCGAGCGGCTGGGATCTGCAGCAAGCATCCAGAATTGAGCCAAGTCCCTTGCTCCCTGCTTCCTTCTGGTTGCAAGGCTGGACCCTGCCAGTGATTGCAGCTCTTGGTGTTTGTTTTTTTTTTAGCACGTAGCAGCTGGGTTTGCAGAGAGCGGTGCTGGGGGTGGGGGATGTCTCACCCCACTCCAGTGGATGGTGGAGAAAGGTTTTTTGTGATTCCCCGAAAAGGAGCACCAGCTAGGTGGAGTCAGACAATGACTCGAGGAAACAATACAGCACAAGTTTATTTACCTCAGCGACTGCAAAACCATCACCAATCAGCTTCTCCAAGGCAAGCACCAAATCACACTTATCAATTATAAGACAGTACAGAAGAGTTGAAAAGTAAGAAAGAGGGGAAGAAAGAGTTATAGAGACAGAGACACACAGACACAGAGAACATCACCAACCCCTCGTTCCAGCGCGTGTCTTCTCTTCAGGCAGAGTCTTTATTTTAGGCGGAAACTCCGTGCGTGGGGTGGTGATGAGTCGGTGGGGAGTACAGTTTGGGCTCACCTTTTATACAGTTCGATCCGGTCCAGGGCTGGACCACCCCTCGGAGGCGGGGGGGGGGACCCAGCATCCAGGTCACCTTCAGGGTTGACCTTTGAGTGGCACAACAGCCCTGCATCCAGGTCAGCAGAGTTGTTTTCCTCTCTCTTTCTTCTTCCTGCAAGGAAAAGGAAAGAAAAGAAACTCAGTCCACTCTCGAACCGGTTTTAATATGAGAAGGGGGAGGCTCTGGGTCAGGTCGGTCACGGGGTGGCTCCTGTCCGGAGAGTGTTTTGGAAACTCCTCCTTTTACCTGATGTGTGTGGCAATAATGATCTAACTGGGCATAGCACTGTCTGACTGTCTCTAGCTGAGCCACTCCTGCGGCTGGGGCAGTTTCAGTGAGTTTCAGGATTTTTTTTCTCTGTTTCTTGCAGAGCAAGGTTAGCTGCGAAGAGCTCCTTTTCAGCTGGAATTTGCAGTCCTAAATTCTCTAAGTGAGAAATTATCTCTGCCTGGGTCAGTCCCACAGAATCAACATCAGGACCACCAATTAGCACATCATCTATATATTGATAAGTTTGAACTCCTTCTCTGGGGGTGATTTTACCAAGTTCCTGGGGTAACGCATAGCGAGCAGCTGCTGGAGAATGGGGATACCCTTGAGGCAAAGGGGTGACTGTGTGTTGCACACCTTCAGAACAGAACCAAAACAGCTTCTGTTGGACTCCTGCAAGGGAACCGCAGCAGTTCAAGGGCACGTGTTATTCACAGGGAGTTTTTTGGAAGGGGGCAATGTGGGTGCATGCTGTAACAGCCGAGTAGTCACAGGAGCTGATCCGAATTTCCATTCCTTCAATAGAATGAGGATCAATAGAATCAGAATTAGAGTAATCATTAGGTGAATTAAGATGAACCCACTGCCTGTGCCCCAGAGGCGGGGAGTGAAGCTTCCCAGACTGAAGCTCCGGATGGCGGGGCAGAGGGAAGGACTGACGACGATGGAGATCTTCTCTTCCCTTGGCAAATTTTTCCATAGTCCCAAACCTCTTCCCAGAGGTTTAGGTGGGTGATGTATCACCTCTGCCCTCCTGACTGCGGCTTTCCCCTTATGGGTCTCTCCCGAAATCCCCACACAACAGCTATATTTGATCAGTTCTGGAGAAATTTCCCCCCAAGTAAGGGTGGATTCTGTTAAAGCAGATTCCATGTGCCCCCCCAGCCCCAAAGCTAAAGCCACCCGTAGCTGCTTCCGCAACGTTCCCCCAGAGTTACCGCTGCCCGGGGGCGATCCTGGATCTGAACAGCGTAAAACTGCCTGGGATCAGGAGGGCTGCTCGTCAGAGGAGTCACTGGGTCTGGGTCAGCTTTTAACAGCATCGGGCAGGGTTGGTGAGGCTCCAGGCGCCTGTCATGCATTAATTGAAGGCAAGGCGCTTTTTGCACGCCCTTGGCTAGTTGGTCTATCCCCGAAGTGTGGATGGCCACCGGCTCCCCCTGCTCTAAGGGCTCCAGCCCTCCTGCCCAATGTGCTGTGTGCTGGGTCAGGGACCAGGGCACTCGATTGTCACCCGCAGTCAAAACCACACCGTGACCCCGATAACCTTGGGGCTCGTCCTCATTAGGCTTTATCCTGTCTGCTCCAGTGAGAGAGATTCCAGACACACTCCCTCTCGGACTCCTTAGAGAGTCGTCTGTACTTTTCTTGTAACCTTGCCAGTTCAGTAGGACTATAGGGTATTTCCTTAGTTATAGTGTCTGGTCCGCTTTCATTGTCCCCTTCATATTGAAACTCCGTTTTAATCAGCGGCCGAAGTTGGGGAGCGGTATCATACCTCTTTGCCTCTTTCTTTCCCCCCAAGGGTAGCGATCAACAATTTCCCCATTGCCCACGTCATTTTTCTTGCACACACCACTGCAACCACAGCTACTTCCAAGATTTTCCTGCCGCACCTCGATCAATTCCTTTCGCAATTCTCATTCCCTAACAAAAGCATTATACAACTGATCCATCTTCTCGTGCCTGAATGCGCCTTTTACGTTCCACCTCCAATTCCTTTTGCAACCAGTTTATCTCCATTTCAGCTTGCAACCACTTTTCTCTCTCGGCTTGCAACACCACTTGCAAGTTCCACAAGAACTCAGTTTCGCACTCTGCGTGCGTCTCAACACACTCATCTCTCGGCACTGCCGCCAGCACACCACCCATCTCCTCTGCTCTGGAGGACTCGGATTCGGTCCGACTCATGTCCCCCTCTTCTCGAGCTTGGCTCCACAATTCAACACCTCCAGAGGACTCGGAATCAGTCCGATCCTCCTTTCCTCCTCTCAGTATTTCCTCCTCCTCTATTCGGGGAATCCTGCCGACTATGCCAGTTTAAATGTCTCGCCCCACTCCAGTGGACAGTCGAGAGAGGTCTTTTGTGATTCCCCGAAAAGGAGCACTGGTTAGGTGGAGTCAGAGATGTTTGAGACATAAACCTGGATCATCCAGAGGCGATGGGTCGGGTCCAGTCCCTGCCAGGGCACGCCTGTGGGATCTGGGGATGGAGCAGGACCCAAGCAGCCTGGGCTGAGCTT